ATCAGCCAGCTACTTGGAAGGCTGAGGCGGAAGGATCGCCGGAGCCCAGCAGGTCGAGGCTGCGGTGGCCGGGAACGGCCACTGCACTCCAGTCGGGCGACAGAGACTCCCACTCAACAACAACAAAAAAAACAAAACACAAAAAAACAACAAAACAAAAAAAAGAAAGAAAGAAATGCATCCGAGTATGCATCCACGTGCACCTTTGGGGCAGTGGGACCACATTGGCCCAGGGATCTCCTGTGTTCTACAAGCAGTTACTGAGTGGTCAGGTGTTCCTACCTGCTGACCGCCAAGTGATGTGGCAACCAGAAAGAATTCCAGTCCCATGCCTGGTGCCACTGATTGGTACCTGCCCTGCCCCTCCTGTCCTTCCTGCCACCTCCTGCCAGGCTGGCTCTGGGAAAAAGGTAAAAGGAGACACCAAGGCCAGCATGTGGGCCTCGGGTCACCTCCCAGGGGCGGTGCCCCTTCGTGACATCTTGTGCCAGGCCATGAAGAAGGACCTGTCTCAGCCACCCAGGGAAGGTGACAAGTGGGCTGGAGGAGACTAGCAGCCGGCCAACCTCCCGGCTCCACCCTGTTTCCTCCCCAGGCAGTGGTCACAGTGGTGGTGAGGCTGCGGTTGGTAGCAGAGGATGTCCCAGGCCTTGGAGCACACAGATGGCGGCTGGGCCTGGGTGGTACTGCTGGCCACGCTGGTGGGCCAGGGCCTTACCCTGGGCTTTCCTACATGCATCGGCATCTTCTTCACCGAACTGCAGCGGGACTTCCAGGCCAGCAACAGCGAGACCTCCTGGTTCCCCTCCATCCTGACAGCTGTACTTCACGCTGGGGGTAAGCAGTCTGGGGAAGGGCTCAGGGAGGCAGAGGAAGGGAGGAAGTCACAACCTCCCTGGTTACCTGGGTCCCTCTATCTGAGGCCATAGGCTTTGCCTCCTGGGTGAATTCCTCAGATTTCAGCAGGGCCCCCAGGCTAGAATCCAGCTGGACTGGGCTGTGTCCTCAGGAGGCTGAGCTGGGAGAAGGAGAAGGGGAAGGGGAAGGTGCCTAAGATACAAAGCCAGGTGCAGCCGGGGCCCGGTGGCTCAGCCTATAATCCCAGCACTTTGGGAGGCTGAGGCGAGTGGATTGCCTGAGCCCGTGGGTTCAAGACCCACCCGGGCAAATTGGCAAGACCTTGTCTCTACGAAAAATAAAAAATCAGCTGGGCGGGGTAGCCCACGCCTGTAGTTTCGGCTACTTGGAAGGCTGAGGTGGAAGGATCGCCGGAGCCCAGCAGGTCGAGGATGCGGTGGCCGGGAACGTGCCACTGCACTCCAGTCTGGGTGACAGAGTGAGATTCCAACTCAAAAAACAAAAACAAAAAAAAAAACAAAGCCAGGTGCAGTCCAGACATAGGCATGTGAGGGCAAGGTGGCTCAGTACCAGACTGGGAGGGTTGGGGCCAGTATACCGAGGCTCTGCTGCCTTCCAGCTGGGAAATCTCTCTGAACTGCTATTTCTTCCTCTGTAATATGACAGTAGCACCAGCATCCTGCCCAGCTCCCCCATGGGATGACAGGGATAACCACATGGGCCCCAGGAGGTGCCAGGAGCCAGGAAATATATGTGGCTGTGAATTAGTATTTTGGAGACTCCCACTGGGGGCTACAGGGCGAGAAAGGGAACGCAAGGAAAATACCAGGAACAAGACAGGATCAACGCAAGAGCCTTGTCTCTCCCTGGAGCTCTCTACAGAGTGAAGGTTGCAAACGTTGGGGTGATGGAGAGAAGGCAGCCCCTGCCTTCCCCTCCTGCCTCTCTCTCACACAGGCCCCTGTCTCCTGGCTGACTTCTTCAGGAATGTGACCGCCTTGTCCTGACCCCAGCCATGGGGGCAGGGCAGGAGCTGCCCAGAGGGTTCTCTACAATAGCCTTGATGCAGGGACCCACCCTCAGCTCCTGGAAGCTCTCCAAGGAAGCTCCATAGACAGCGACCCTGGAGAGGCTTGTCCACAAGAGCCTGACCCGATGGGCGCCAGGCCTCCCTGTGTGTGGTTGCTGGCCTTAGCTGGCTGCACCTCCCTGGCTACCTCCTTGCCCCTCGCTCCACCTGCCACTAGCAGCTTGCCTGTTATTCTAGGTCCTTCCCTCCCATTGGGAGGCTGTCAGAGGTCAGGCTGTGAGAGGTGGCCACCTCCTGAATGAACCCTGAATCTGCCTCCTGGGGCTTGGCCTCAGGGGAAGGAGGAAGGCCAAGCCTTGCCCGTGCTGCCTGGCCTTTTGGTCGCAAAGTTGGGGCAGGGAGTGAAAATCTCAGATGGCTCCTTCTCACACAGGCAGAGTTGGACCCGGGCCAGGGGCTGGGAAGTGGGCATCCCGGGGAATCCCACTCCCCAAGTAGCTTTGGGCTCACTCCCTGCAGGTATACCAACACCTCAGTTGGTGTGGGATTCCTGTCTGTCTGTGGATCTGTGCATCTCTCTCGCACACCTTTGGCCTGTGCTCATTCAGAGTATTGTGAAGATTTTATTTTATTTATTTTTATTTTTATTTTTGAGTTGGAGTCTCACTGTTGCCCACACTAGAGTGCAGTGGCCACTCTCGGCCACCGCAGCCTCGACCTGCTGGGCTCCGGCAATCCTTCCACCTCAGCCTTGCAAGTAGCTGGAACT